GTACTAGAATCAGAGTAATCTGCCGGTTTGGATGATTTTCGTCGACGAAACTTCTTACTTCGTAAGCCTCTAAATTAACCACTCACATTTGTGCAAGAAATTTATAGTTTTTGTGGAACAAGTATTTCGAAAGGCTCATAAGATCGGGTAAAAGGTTGAGGATTTAGAGAAATTTCTGCGTCTGAAAAAAATGAAAATGCAACGTATGATACAAAGCAAAAACCATTGGCTCCTGCTGCAGTGGACGTCAAAAACATTCTCGCCTCGATTGTTTTAGTGGAAAGCTTGTATCGCACCATCTACAGAATTTCATGTTGCTTCCACATAGCACTCCACGTTAATGGAAGCAAAAAAATGAACCAACGCAAAACTTACATAGTTTGGTTCAGAAAACCATTTGTAAAGTGAAACATGTCCAGTATTTTAGTGGAGCTGCCCTTTGAAATTGTATATTACCTATTATATTGTCATTCGATTTATACCCATGATTACTTCGTTTATATTTAAAAAAATACCCAGAAATTACGACATAAACGTCAGCAGAGGATAACTAATATAATAGTTAGAGTCCACATGGGCTGCCACCGGTCAGAATGTGCTGAAATCAGATATTCCTTCCAACAAGGCGGATAGTGCATCATCCCACCGACAACATTAGATCAATCGCAGTTGTAGCGGCGGCGGTTATTTGTGAGGCATTCGTTAAGGAATTGTATGCCGTCTCGAAAGCTTCAACTCATTCAAAATATATAAGGCTCCGATCCATAAGAGTTGTCAAGCTCAAAAAACCAGCGAGTTTCCGGATTTTTCTTTTGCTAGCGTAATAACATATTTGAAAAAAAATTAAACACTCGCTATCTCAGGGCTTGGAGGAAGCTTCTTGGATTTCGTACAGCTATTAACGGTTTTACTTTTTCAACTTTAGGAGGAGATCATAGAGATATAGATCGAAAATGAATAGCTGTTCGCGGAGGAGAGTGTTCGAGCGCATCGGGCCAAATAATATCAGTTGCAGAAAGTTAAGCCTATAGCTATTTTCGCCTATTAGAGGTAATTCTTCACTCCTCTCAGGCAACAGGGCCACCTGGCTTTACTGCGAAGACGTGCAAGACGTACCCCGGGAAGGGGGGGGGGGGGGGTTGTGACCATGCGAAATTTCGGTTGCAACGATTGCAACGATAGATGAGGGTCATTATCCATCCACAATCCTCGAGATCGTTCATGGATCATGTCGCTGCAAAAAAATTTGACCGTGGATGCCTCAGTTAACCGTGGATGCCTCAGTTATCTGACACCTGCCTTGTTGCACTATGTCACTGAAATAGCGGCGAGTTGGTTCGGGTCTTCCGTAGTTTTAGGGCTTTCACAAATTTGCAACTAGCTGTGACCGACACGATGAATGGTGGATAAGCAGCATCTTCAAAAATAGCGATTATATGCTAATGAATAAAACATTTAGAAATATATATAGTATTTTCTTTGCAGTCACTCATGGAAGTTTGAAAATCCGAACCTCGGCAAGTATATCTACCTCGCTATCTATTGGATTGCCATGAGCAGCAGTGCCTACAACCCGATCATCTACTGCTTTGCGAACGAAAGGTGACCACAACTTGGTGGCTACTGTGTGTTACATCGACTATATGTGCTATGTCTTAATTACAAGTAACTTCACAGATTTCGGATTGGTTTTCGTTACGTGTTCCGCTGGATGCCAATGATACACTGCTCACGAGAAAAGTACGAGTACTCGCAGCTGTTTCCTGAAAGACTGCGCAGCATGGCAATCAGTCTTCAAGCGAACAATACCTCTCGCGACAAGGACTCGAGGCGACTACATAAGAGTTACAACAGCGCTGGTAATCCTTCTAACAATCTTATTAAGGATACATTACTCAATGACTCGCACTTAAAACATAGGCTTTTTGGCGTACATTTAGCCTGGTAAAGCGAGGGGCGATAAGATTGGAGTGGGTTTATGGTGGAAATCGAGAGGGTGAATTTATACCCCTGTGGCGAAAAAAAAAAACAAAGAAATCCGTCAAAACGCACGAAAGGGGTTTCCTTTCGTGCGTTTTTGACGTTTCTCTTTTCTACGGCATGCTATTCTTGCAATTGTTTTGTTTCCATCCTCTAGATTTGAACGTTTTAACCCGATTCCTTCAATGCATCGTCCCCAAAGCGTTGGCTTTTTTCCCTGGTTTTTGTAGGTTTGTTTTTCCTTGGAAACTGAATCATCTTACGTGGAAATATGTACGTTTCTGTAGCGATCAACTGACATATGTATTCTTGCTGAGAAAGAATAGAAGAGTTTTCGTGAAGGATTCCTCCAAGCCATAGGGTGAGGGTTTTATAAACCGAGACGAAGCACAGCCATAGCATAACGCTGCTCAGAGAATGAAGTGTATGTTCGCGATTATGACCCCTAGGCATTCCTATTTCACTCTGATTGTATTCCAGGTTTCCTTGAGAGGCTTGATGCCACAGCCAATTGTGTACGCGGAATACGTGACAAAGGATTTGTGTAGGACCCAGGATGAGTTACGGCCTACTATATACATGTGACAGGGATCTGCTTGCTTTCATTGGAGAAGGGTATCGTATTGGATGAAAGTTCAAAACGAATGATAAAGCTGGCAAAATAAAACCAATGGTGCCGGGTGTGAAATATTGATATTATGTATAGATACCGTCACTGCACTAAGAACTTTTCGAAAAAGAAAGAGAAGAAAAATTTTTGTTCTGAAAATATTATGGAGTTTGACGTCTTCATGTGTAAATCCTTGAGGGGGAAATCAAGAAGATCTGATTAAAAAGAGGCCATTTTTGATCCACTAAGTAACTGTTCGCGGCAGCGCTGTCCTTTGCCGGTCTCCTCGCCATCGCAGTGATGTCATAAGAACCTCAACAGCACGCGTCCACGCCCATGCCGCTGGTGAGCTTCTCCATGGGGTCGAATGTTTGGAAGGCTAGAAGCGGGGTTTACGTGTGAAGACAGATGGGGAGGGTTATCTGATCGTGAGAATAACGAAAGGCAGGGATGGCCGAGTGGTTAAGAGGTTAGACTCATGTCTG